GGGGGTGGGGGGGGTGGGGGGAGAAGCAATTGCTCTTATATCTGTTGAGCACATTGGATGCTTCAAAAATAGCCACTACCCTCTCGTACGGCTTCGTAGAGTCTAAGAGGAGGAATTAGAGAGGTAGTGGAGTCTCTACTGGATATGGAAATCTTTTCACAGTATTCCTGACAAATCTTCCACGACTCGCCCAACAGGAGGGGGTACAGTTTATATATATTCCAAAATGAGAGGTTTTAGAATCATACTGAAGTGGATTCCAATCCCAGTTCCCCCATCTTAGTAGCTTTATGACCTCAGTCAAGTCATTAAACCTCTACAAGTCAGGTTCCTTACCTGTAAAATGTGGGTAGTAATTGTATTCTTCATTGGGTCAAATAGGAAATTAAGTGAAATAAAGCATTTGACACATTTAACACACGGCCCGGTGTGTTGTGAATGCAAAGAAAGTTATGGTTATTATTGTTTAGTAAATGCATAATGAATATTTATTAGTACCTAGGCCCTGCTATGAGCAAATGTGCCCGATGTTTGAATGAAAATAATTTTTCTGTTTAAATGATGAAATAGACTGGATTTTGTCAAGTCCTGGTGGGGGTGGAGAGTAAACTCCAGCTCCTTTGCACCACAGAGAACCAAACAGCTAAACTAAGATCTGGATGCCTTGCTTGTGCTGGTTTTGTTGGTATAGGTATTATACTGACCCTGCAGCTGCGAACTAGAAATCTGGGCAGTCCTTCTTCTAAGAAAAGGGACTCATGGATATAAGAACACCTTTTAAGTTCAAATAAGACAGTTCAAGTTTTTCCATCTCACAATATCCACCCAGCAATTATCCCATCTGGCAATTATTGTGGGACCCAAATTTTTAAAAGAAAACCAAGCACAAGAGAAATCAATGGACCGTACTTCACAGACTTTTATCCCAGCTTTTACTTTCATATGAAGCAAGTCTACACACTTCTGACTCACTTATTTCCATATTTCAAGATGAACTAGTGAAGGAAATCCCTCCCTAAATGCTACATTATTCATATGCATCGAATTTGTGATTGGGGAAAGCCATCCAGAGAGGACAGCCCCTCTGAGCTTGTTGGCCAGGGGACAGTTAGTTACTCAAGCTGAGAATGGCATGCTGGTCATACAATTGCTGTTTCTGAATTGACAAATGCTTTCTATCATCCCCCGCCCCCAACACACACACACGCACACACACACACGTNTGGTCATACAATTGCTGTTTCTGAATTGACAAATGCTTTCTATCATCCCCCGCCCCCAACACACACACACTCTCTCTTCTGGCAAATATACGTTAATCCTGCTGTGTTTTGTCCCAGGCCCAAGAGGATACTGACACTTCATCACATCCTTGCAGGGGGCAGCACCATGATTAATTTAAGGATCGTATGTGCCCAACCTTACAGGAAGCCGCTACCAATCATTTGGCATCGGCGTGAAGCATGAAAGTGTTTGCCATCTTTGAGTTGAGCCAGCTGAAAGGCCGGCCTCTGGCTTCAGCGCTTGCGGCCTTCCCTAATGGGTTTTATGGTGCATGAACTTTGCATACCTTTATAATGATATACCCACAGGCTTATGCCATTTGTCACCCTGACCTGAAAAGGAGAAGATGGGAAGATCCACAGTGACCAAGACTTTTATTAGGAAGCTTTTGGCTGCAAGTTTTGTCACTTGACTGACTCTTTATATTCACAGTGTTATCATAACCTGCCAAATCCTTGGCTCCATAAGTAGGCCTTTAACTGCTTATTAGGAATTCCAACTACTGTCTTCTAGCACCAACTACAGCGCATTCAGAGCCTCTGCAATTCCTAAACGTACACTTAAGCCACATAATGGCCCAATCCGCATCTTTTTGTACACGAAAGGCACTTTGTATTAAATCGAGTGGAAATTATGTTTTAGCGACACTCCACCTTTAATTGTCTAGTAAGTTTTATTCTGTTCCCAGGACTCAGGCTTTTATCCACAACGCAGGAGTCAGTTAACAAAAATGTTTTTAGATGGGAGCATTCTTGAAGCAGTTATGACAAACGGCTCGATTACTTTGTGTTTACTGATCTTGTCGCCCTTGTCTCGTTGACCTTAGGTTTAGCATGCCTCATGACGACAGCAACAAGTGCAAAGAAGAAGGGGTCAAGAGCCCCCAGCATGTCATGGCTCCAACACTGAACTTCTACACCAACCCCTGGCTGTGGTCAAAGTGCAGTCGAAAATATGTCACGGAATTCTTAGAGTAAGGCTTGAACTTTCTTTGAGCATGGACTTCTGATATCTGGCCTCCATGTAGTAAACTAATTGTGGGAAAGAAAATGTAGAGTTCAGCATTCTTTTTGAGTTGTTTCTGTTGACATTCCTTGGAGGAGGGAAAAAAAATGCTCTCTGCCATCTGTGCAGTTCATGTCCTTGCCCGAGTTCAGAAGATTACAGACGGAGCTGAAAAGAAGATGGGATCTTACAGGGAACGTGTAAATGCTGCCTTATTCCTGTAGAGACAGGAACTCTGTTCAGGTCCTGGGGGAGGGACCATGAATGTGATTATAGGATGGAGGAAGGCCACGAATATTTATAAGCTTTACCTTAGTCATTTTGGCTTGGAAAGGGGTAGGACAGTGAGGCAATCCCAAAGGTTATCTGGGTGGATGAAAATTGCAGTAGCCTCCCCTGTTGTTGGAGGGCATTTCTCCCTCTCTCTCCCTCCCTCCCTCACCCTCTCTCCCTCTGTCTCTCTTTTCTTGTTTTGTTTTTTAAGCTTCCTGCCAGGCTGCTCAAAGATCCAATTACATTATATCATATCCCTGTGTCACAGATTTATTGCTTTTCTCTCCCAGAAGCACGAGAGGTTAAGTGATTGTCCGAAGGTTACTGAGTGTATATTTCTGCAACCACAGGGAAGAGGGGGCTTTATTAATCAGAACTCACTGGGTGTGAATTTTCCAGAAGTGTTTGTAGAAAAGTCAAAAGAACTGGAGGGCTGCTGCTTTTCCTCTTTAATCAGATGGCTAAGGTGTTTTTTGCAATAGTTGTTGCTTAACTCACTCATCTTTTCAGCAAACATTTATGAAACACCTGTTGTTATGGAAGACAAAAAAGACACTATCTTTGCCCCTAAAAAGCTTACAGGCTATTGGAAAGGATGGTAAAAAAGATTAAAAATAAAAAGATGATTGCCCCGAAATGTGATAAATGCTGTAACATGTATATTTCTGCCTGGCTGTGTTGTATACATAGCCAATCTGTGTACAAACAAGTACACACCAAAACATATTACTTCATCTAATAGATTTAACCTTAGATGAAAGGAATAAAACAGATATAAGGAAGGAACTGTCCTCTCTACCATTGCAATGGCAGACGGCCTTCCCTTTCAGCTGGAGGTGTTGACAAGTCACATGTCACCTGCTGCTCTCACCATCCGTATTTTTTGCTTTTCATAGCGCTGGCCATGGCGAGTGTTTGTTGAATGAACCCGAATCCAGATCCTACACTTTGCCTTCCCAACTGCCAGGCCTCCTTTACAACGTGAATAAACAATGTGAATTGATCTTTGGACAAGGTTCTCAGGTGTGCCCATATATGGTAAGTGCTTAGGGTTGATTCTGGACTTCTTTTTATTCATAGCTTTCCGTTAGGTTGTCACTCTAATATAAACCACTCATGGAAAATTGAGAACGGTCCATTGACTCTCAGTAGAAATAGTGATGATGTAGTCACGGTGCTCACTGTTCGATGGTGCTTTACCTGCACTTTCTCATTTCACTCTCAGGACAGTCCGACAGGGAGATGCCATTATTGTCGTCATTGTACAGGTGGGACAGTGGGGCTGAGAGAGCACAGGCTGCAGAGCTGGTAATGACCGAGCTCGGCCCTTTCTCTCCTTGTCTCTGTTCATGCCCATTGACCTGTCTAGGTGACCTTTATTATAGGGACTCTTCTAGATTCCATAAAAGTAATTCACGAGACAAACCTGTTTCCCTGTTTTAGCTCATCAAAGCTGTGTCCTGTGACCCCCTGGGGCTTGAAATCATTTCTGGCGGTAGCTCAGCTGGTGGGTGTGTGATATTTGGATGTATGTGTTATGGACGTTTGGACCAATGATATGAACCAGTGGCTATCAGATTTCAGATGAGCAGAACTGTGCTTCTTTGGGGTGCCCCATTCTATCTCATGGGGTGTGTATGTTTGTTTGTTTTGCTGGGAGAAATTTCAGAGATAACATGGTGAACTGGAAAGTACAGTGATTCCATGGAAATACTGTAATAAAATATTTTAAGTAAAATCCATGATTATATTTGTTTCTGTGTCATTCATGATAGTAAACTTTAGGAGTAGTACAAATTCCTGATAATAGAAAGGTTCAGCCAGTTATGGTGTCTCCATTTAGTGGAATCCTCTACAACAATTAAAAAGTAACTACTCTTGGGCCCTAGCCGGTTTGGCTCAGTGGTTAGAGCATCGGCCCACAGGCTGAAGGGTCCTGGGTTCATTTCCAGCCAAGGGCACGTACCTTGGTTGCAGGCTCAGTCCCCAGCCCTGATCGGGACACATGCAGGAGGCAACCAGTCAGTATGTCTCTCTCACATAAATGTCCTTCTCTCTCTCTCCTTCCCTCCCTCTTCCACTCTCTCTGAAAAGCAATGGAAAAAATTTACTATACTTGGGAACATGATCCTGATATATTTTTTAAGTTAAAATAACAGGATAAATAATTATTTTTGTAGAGTATGTTCTCAACTGTAAAAGACAGGAAACTACAGGAAAGACTAAGTAGTTTGAGGCTTTTCCATTTTTTAAAAAATAAATGATTAGCCCTGGGCAGTGTTCCCAAGTGGTTAGAGCACTGCCCTGTCACCAAGGGGTCACAGGTTTGATTTCCAGTCATGGGCACCTACATGGGTTACAGGTTAGATCCCTCACCCTGGTCAGGGCATGTGCGGGAGGCAGCCAATCAATGTGTCTCTCTCACATTGATGTTTCTCTCCGTCTCTGTCTCTCCCTCCCTCTCTTTCCCTATCCCTCCCTCTCTTCCACTTTCTCAAAACAAAAATCAATGGAAAAAATTTCCTTGGATGATTAACAAAAAATAAAATAAATTCCTAGTACTTTCTAAATTTTTCTATTATGGGTGTGGGTTAGTGTAATAACCAGGAAAAAAGTCTTTAAAATGTATGCCCTGAAATAGAGCTAAATATATCAACTTGTGTAAATCTAAAAAAATACAGTGTATGTGTGTGTCTGTGTGTGTGTAGAGGGGAGAAGCAAATTGCAAGGCCTATCAGTATATTCAGAAATGCTGAATACTGTTGTTTGTTTCTAGTTGAAATGTTTATTATTGGTTGATACTTATACATTTGTGGTAAAAGCAGAGGGAGGGATGAAACCATGGCCACTACTCGGGACAGTGGTCATCTCTGGGAGAAGAAGGGGGCTGGGATTGAGGAGGAATGCACCGGGCCTTCAGCTGGGCCTGTGAGGTTTCCTTTCTTTAGTTGGGTGGTGGGCCCATTATGTGGCTGTTTGCACTTTTCGTATGTCTAGAATTTTCACAATGCCTTGTCCCATTTTCCCTCTGATCATCCCTGACACCCTAGAAAAGAGTCATCACATAATATAGTATTATATCGCCTACTAGAAGAAAACGCTAGTTTTGCGGGCGAGCCAAACCTAAACTCAAGTCACAGCTGATCACAACACAACTCCAAACCTAGTCGCTAGCCACAGCTCCTCACACACCCCAGCTCTCATCACACAGCGCCGGTGGGAGCGAGTGAGGGGGCCTGCGCCTGGTCGCCCGTGCGAGGATGACAGGCCGAGGGCCCTGTGTCGGATGACCTGAAGTCCTTTCACACCATCTCAAGACCTACCAGGCGTAGCAGTGTGTCTCCCCGGCTGCCCTCTGTATCCCTCGGGATAGTTGATCACTTATCATACCAAGGAGCAAACCCCCTTCCCACCTAGGCTGCATCATTGGCCACACATGAATTGAAAGCATCCCTTGCCTTGTTTGATATCATCTAACTGTGTGTCACTGAACTGTCTTCACTCCACGAGCAGATGCAGTGTCGCCGACTTTGGTGCAGTAACGTGGACGGCGCCGAGGGAGGGAACAAGGGCTGCCGGACGCAGCACACGCCCTGGGCCGACGGCACCGAGTGTGAGCCCGGAAAGGCAAGTAGCGCCCCGGCCCGCTCCCGCCGGGACGGCCAGGCTGCGGCTGGGCCGGGGCCGCGCTTTAGCCTGCGCGGCGCTGTGAGGCGGGAGGCTCCGTTTCACTGCTGAAAACTGGGAAACTTAAAATTGTTGTGTGATATTGATCTGATAGACATGGTTGTCACTGTTGCCTCCATTTTAAGACATACTTTTTTCATTTTAACATTTCTGAAATCCCAGTGTGCTTTTTAACTTATGGGTGCATTTAAGATGAGGCAGCATTTCTTTTTTCTGTCTCAGAGGTGGCAGTAGACGTCTATTAGTATCTGATAAAGCATCTTAAAAATCAAAGAAATGCAGAAATACAGTAAACTTATGTGTTCACTACGGGGACACCAGGCTTTTCCCAACCTTTGTCCCTTTAACAAGTGATGATGTCACCTGGGATGTATCTAAGTCCAAATTCTCATTTGGTAACCAAATAAAATCTGCTGCTTGCACGACCCAGTGATAACCATGTCCCGTGAGCCTAGGACTATGATTAATGCAACCTGCTTCACTTGGGATCCTTCTGAAAAAGAGAAAGGTACTAATTTAGTAGGTATCATCATCATCACCCAAAATTTTTGGTTAGAAAATGTTTTAGAAATAAACTCTGATTTTTTGATCCATGTGGGAAATGGCATTCTGTCACTTACCAATGATGCGATCCTGGATTAGAGTCTGAGTCTTTTGTCTTCTTACGTATATTTTTTCCTGTCTTCTCTTTTCTTCCCATTGTCTACTTTGCTCACTTTTAATGTTTTATTCTCATCTCACATTTTTCCCTCCACTTTTCCTGATAGAATCAATAGCACCAGAATGTTTCCATGGAAAGGGGGGTGCTAAAGAGATGGCAGAACTGAATTCCCTTTTCCCCGATTTTATAGCTGGGAACAGGAAAAGAAGTGGCTTGCCCAAGCTCATTCAGGGCAGAGTCCCAGCACCCGAGCCCCTGCCCGCCCTGGGACCCTCCTTTGTTTGGCCTGAAGGGGCTGCCGTGGCCGTAACTGAGCTTCTGTTTCTGTTGGTCAAACGGGAGAACTAGTGGTTTCTTCGCTCGTCCCCCAGGGTGGTTAGAAAGTTACATGAGCTGCAGGGCATGAAAGTTATTTGGAAAACATGAAGTTCAGTACAAAAATAAAAAATTCCAATGGAGATGAGTTTATAACTTGGTTTGGTGACTAAGCCAGCTCAAGGATCACTTCTTCATGGCCAGGACTTCAGCAATTAAGTACACACCGTCCCCCAGGAACAGCCTCACCCCGACTACATGCAGCGTAGGCGTCACAACCTTTTACCTTTCATTAGCTTAAAAAGAAATATCTCCTCGGGCAAAGCGAATCTTTCACTTTTTGTGGGACATGTAGCTCAACGCGTTGATGGCCAGAGGATCACAGCTTTGAGTGGGAACACGAGTCTTAGGTTTTATGGTGGCCATTAAGAATTCACTCATCGTTACGAAATGAAGAGGCCTCAGCATCCTTCTCAGCACAGGGACCCAGAGAGCTGCTACCAGTTGACGGGAGATGACAGTAGGCATGACACCCTGTTGATGACTTGGCTAGCTGGCTTGATTTAGAGCCAGCCAACTACATTGAAACTGTTTAATCTCAGAAAAGTCACTAGTATTGTGTTGTGGTTTTCAGTCAATCTGATGCACCTACCTAATGTGTTTATTTCTGGCATGCTATTGCTTTAAAAAACGGTAACAAAGAAGGGTTCTCAATAGTATGACCAAGTAAATTCTATTTAGTAAAATTGTCATGAACAGGCTGCCAAGTGCCATGTAGTCAGTCCTGGAACAGAGAAGAACTGTTGTGTCTTTTTCCAATCTTCTGTTTTTGCAACAGAAGCAGAAGATAAGGGATTGCAGGGAACGGGAGGGATGGGATATTTGGGAGATCTTTCAGAAGACTTTTTCGATGTCTGCTTGTGTTCAGCAAGAGTGAGGGCCTTCAAGGCATTCCAAAGGACAGATTCAAAACACTTTCTGAGAAGCAGCTCTGCAGAGAAAATGATAGGTACATTTTAGTTGTGTTTTAGAAAAGTGGGGGGGAAAGTGGCCAAGTCCCCCACTTGGGGGAAGAAGTGGCCAAAGCAGCCTTGTTTGAACATCTGAGTACAGCTTTTACTAAAGAAGAGGGTATGTGTGTGTATTCCCCTGAAGAGCATCTTTGCATTTTACAAATGCCAGAGATGGCGCATATACGTTGGCATAGAAATTCTTTGTGTTCTTTCATTGTGTTTCTACAGAATTGGCAGTAAAACTATATGCCTTTTCTCTAGCAAATTCTGGCTCCCTTTGCCAAGAGATTCATTTTCCCCTTTCTCTTCTTTCTGCCCTGCTCCCTCGGCAGTGAGCAGTGGGCTGCTGACACCTGTTATTTTGATGAATGGCTCTAATGTCTCTATTTTCTCCATTCTCTTGCTAAGTCCATTAACATTTTTATTTTAACCCTGTTTGTGAGTCTCAGGTTTGAAACTTTTGTTTTAAGCCTCCTTGGAACAAAGTTGATCCCAAGTCTTTTTTCCAACCTCTCTTTTTTAAAGGGACTTAGGGATTATTTAGGTAGGATATCATTTAAATGGTTCTAGACACTTTTAGGAAAAGCTGACTATATTTTGGCTGGGACTCCTCTAGCCACTTAATGCTTTGTTATGACATAAAGGTTATTCCAGTATATAATTATTGTTTGTCAGCTTTGCCTGGAAAAATAGATTATCTTGGTGCATATTTGCCAAACAGCCCTGTTTTCCAGCCTCTGTCACCTCAGGCACGTCCCCTAGTCCTCTGAACACCGGTCAGTGGTCATTTCAGTAAGACATGTTTCGTTGGCAGACCAGTTTTCAATTAGAAGCTTTTTTTTAAAAAGCAGCCTTGTTTGGACATCTGAGTGCAGTGCTGAATGGTAGCCTTCTGCTAATGGCAGTACCTGTGTCCTCATTTTGCTCTGAAATTTATTGTTTGTTATGTGGAAGTAGCGTCTATAGAATAGAGAGATCAACAGACTGAAGAATTAGTGTCAAGAGTAGAAAAAAAATGTATTTCCAGGTAATTTCTTATTATTAAACTCCATGAATTATCATAGGAACTTTTTCCTTACTTTGTAGAATTTTAAAAATGTGTATCTGGCACCAAAACTTGGCTGAATTTGGGCAACAACTATGACCTCAATTATATATTAATTGGAAATTTTGTTCAGGTGAGACCTAATTATAGTAGTGTAAGCCAACTGACTCTTTTTTTCTGACACAAAAAAGTTAGTTCAGACTTAAACAGGTTATAGAGCTGTTGTGGCAGCTCCACAAAATCATCAGAGACCCAGGCTCCTAATTTCTTTCTGCTCCACTATCTATGCAAATGGTCTTCATCCTCAAAGTCACAAAATAGCTGCCGCAGCTTTAACCATCAGGTCTGAGTTCCAGGCAGAATGAAGCCAAAGGGGCAAAAGAACCTTCCCAGAATATCACCCCATGAATCCTGCTGTTATCTCTTTGACTGCTCTTACCTGTTCAAAAATCTGGGGATATAGCAATTCTGTACTACAGATGAAAGGGAAAATGGATATCAGGTAGACAACTTAGAGTCTTAGCCTTACCAAACCATTTCATTAATTTGCTTTTGTTTTATTTAGATGTCAGACATCAGTCCCATTTGCTCACAGTGGAGAAAGAGGCAGCATGTGGCACAGTTAAGAGTGCTCTCTTAGGTTAGGTTGTCTAATGGCCCAGCTCAGCCTCTTACTGAGGTTTGGCCTCCACCCCTCTGTGTCTCCATTTTCTTTTCTGTAGAAATGGGAGTAATAATAGTCCCTGCTTCACAGTGTTCTGTGAGAGTTAGGTAAGTTAATGTGTGTATAATGCTCAGAACATTCCTGACAGATATTAAATGCAAATGCTTGCCATTATTACTACTAACTATTTAAGTCTGGTCCCCTGTGTGCTCTAGGTCTTTAGATACACTGTCTCATGTTAGGCTCAGGACCACTGTGCTCTTGGGTTTTCATCTGTGGAAATAGAGCTCAGTGACTCACCCAGGGACACAGAGTTGGTCTGTGGAAACTAGACTTTTGCCTGCTGCACTTTGTCCCTGCACTGTCCACCGTGGCAGCCATGAGCCACACGAGGCTGTGAGCACTGGCAATGCCTGTCTGCACTGAGACATGCTTAAGTGAAAACTCACACCAGCTATTGATGACCTAATATGAAAAAAGTATTTAAAAACTCATTTATAATTTTGTGTTGATTACATATAATGTTTTAAGTATTTTGAGTTAAATAGGAGATAATAAAATTAATTTCAATTTTCTTTTTACTTGTTTTAATGTAGCTTCTAGAAATTTTTTTTTAAAAATATGTCTTTATTGATTTCAGAGAGAGGAAAGGAGAGGGAGAGAGAGAGATAGAAACATCCATGATGAGAGAGTCATTGATTGGCTGCTGCCCACAACCTGGGCATGTGCCCTGACCGGGAATTGAACCCCGATCGCCTGGATCCTAGGTCGATGCTCAACCGCTGAGCCATGCCCGGCCAGGCTGGAAATTTTTAGACTTGTTTAAATATGTGACTCAAGTTGCATTCTTCTTGGGTCGTGGTGCCCTAGAGCCTGGACCGAGCTGCTGCTCTCATTACCTCCACGCGCATGTGCTCCCAGAAAAGTCCACGAACGCCGTAGAGACGAATAGAAAGTGCTTTCAGGGAGTGAGGTGGCGCCTCTGCTTCTGCCCGCATTTCATGGGTGTGGAGTTGCCCAGGATTCTTTGGACACAGAACCTTTTAAGCCTCAGCCAAACAGCCCAGGGGAAGTGACGTGTCCTCAGATGCTCGAAAAGGATACTTAGAAGGGAGAAGCCACAGCAGAATAGAGAAAGTTTCATTGCACTCTTTAAATAATGGTTCCCCAAGTCTTTCCTGGGGCCGGCCATTCAGACTAGGACCTTCACCGGCCTCTGTTTTGCCCGCTTTCCCCGAATAGGCCCCCAGCCCCCTCAGCCTTGGTGGCTCGCCCTGGGTCCCCCTGTGGATACATCACAGCCCGGCCACTAGCTCTGCTCGGAGAGCTGAGTGAGCCGCGGGGTCTCCCCCTCCTGCCGCCACGGCTGCCACTCTTCCTTTGTGCCCTGCTCGGTGACCTCGGCTTTGTGTCGGGGCCTCACCCAACAATGGCAGAGGGCTGAACTGGGCTTCTTGGCTCCCTAGTCCTGCTGAGGACTTTTAGTTTTTGTTTTGTGGTAAACATCATGGCCTTCCTCCTGCTCCAGGCTGGAGAATGTGAAACCATTAGTAACAAAAAAAGCAATAAAATTTAGGGCTCTCGGTAATGTGTCCGTTTTGCTTCAGTGTGTCCGTGTGCCTTGGTGGAGCGAGTATATAGGAATCCTGTGACTAGATTTCTCTCTTTCCTGTTTAATTAGAATTGGGTGTTCAAAGCCATGGGAAGCAGTAAAGCATTGTGTTTTAGCAGGCTCGCATCATCTCTGGGCCTTGCTAATGGAGATTTGCTACACAAATCAAATCCCGTGACTCATTGTGGCCCTGCCCGCAGCCGTCTGCCCCTTTCCACTCCTGGCTCCTCCAGGTAGACTAGCGAAGCCCCTGGAAGCTGGCACCCTGACAGCCTGGGGCCGACCCCTCACGGGCCAGTGTTGTTCGGGCACATTGCAGATGAAGACACAGCCTAAGCTCACGAAGATTGAGGTTAAAACCCCCGCAGTTTCCACTATTCGCTAGCTGGTGAAATTGCAGGGCGCTTGGGAAACAGTCGGAACAGGGCGTATTTGAAAGGACAGTGGGTCCTACAATGTCGCAAGCACCCAGCTCTCCCTCGTTGTTCCCTTATTAAATACAGCACTGCAAGTTTGGATTTTGTGTTCCCAAAGAAATGGAGGCCCCCGTGACCGATGGATCCTGGGGAAGTTGGACTCACTTCGGAACCTGCTCTAGGACGTGTGGAGGGGGCATCAGAATCGCTGTCCGGGAGTGCAACAGACCAGAGTAAGTCCTAGGACGCGCCACCACCATTCCTGGGACAGCAGGAGTGACAGATGCCTACAGAGGGTCATTTAGCTGGAGGCAGGTAAAGAGCTCTTTCCAAATTAAGAGAGTGGGTGGAACTCCTAGGACCACCAAAAGTCCTCGTGTCCAAGCGCTGTCCCTGGCCACTTCCCTGCTGTATTATTATTTTTCTCCAATGATCCTTTATTTTTAAAACTTTTGTCTACTGAACAGTCGATGCTTTTGTGTTGATTGGCCTGTTTAACATTGTTGACAGTCAGGCATGTCTCACTGCCCCCAGAGCTTGGGATAGCATGCTAATAAAGGGAACAGATTCATTTTTTGTGAGGAAACAAAGAAATTGATCCTTTCTGTCCAGATTATAGATAAACGCACCCTCTTCTGTTAGCTTTTGAAATGCTGGAAGGGGTACACAGACCCCCAAGGCAGCACTGGCAGATCCGAAGGGACCAGGAACCCCGAGCCAGGAATTACTTTTTGAATCAATCTTGTTGTTTCGCAGGTGAGACAGCCTAACAGTTTACAGATTGGGAGTGTCCTGCTCTTCAGGATGATTCTCACTATGTGACCAGCCTAACCCTGTGAGGACTTGCATGGTCACATAGTCAGTGGGGTTTTCTCAGCACCCATCATGGTAGACCTGCGCTTGCTGGGGAGGCTGTTTACAAGCAGGCTTTAGAAATTGCTCTCATTATGAGGAACGACATCCAATTTTGTGTGGCTATAAGATATATCAAATTTAAAGGAACAGAAAATAATACATGATATTATTGCCACTGACCCTACATAGGTGGGGACCCCAAGAAGTCTTCGCAGATTAGGGAGAGTTTTGAGATGTATAAAGCCACAACCATTTTTACAGGATCAGCTGCTTTGGGGTGGTGTGAAATGATTTCGCCCAGCAGTACTCTTTTAGCTTTACCAGCCTGCATTAAGGATAGCAGGCGGGTTGTAGAGAGGTAAGCATTTAAAGGAGCAGAGTGGGCTGGTTCAGGACAACAGGGTTGTATTGCAGAGTGGTGGACACTAAGTGCTGATGGATTGTTTGTAGGTAGGAAAAGGGCCTGCTACTGACAAAGCTTCCAAATTTTTTATAAGAAAAATCTGAGTTGTGTGAACTAAAGGAGAGCATAGCTGTAGGTCGCTGTTCTAAGTCTTGTTCTAAATAAATACTCTAGCACAAATCACAGATGATAAGTAATTTAATATATTTTTGTTCACAGCCCAGCATTTAGTAGACGTCCATTACTAGTCTCTACAGAAGACTATAGAGCTGTAAAATATAGACTCTGGTTTATAAAACTAACACTGCAGCTATGTATGTAAGCTAATAAACATTCGATTTGCCTAGATTTAGTATTCGTTTTTAAATAATAGTATAAAATAGTACATGCTTCCAGGTACAAAAGAATATGATATAAAAAGTTCCTATCATTGTTATTTCTAATCCCCAATTATCCCCACAAGAAATAACTGCCAAAAACCAATTTTATTTGTATTCTTTTGGACTTTCAAAAAAGATTGTAAGTGTAATATGTATTGTATGAAGTAAATATTATACAAAACAAAGATCACACTATAGTGTTCTACAAATTGCTTTTTAAAAGTCAAATATATATCTTAGCTATTTGCATTGTTGAAACCTTAAAATAAAACATTTAAAGCTAACAGCAAATAAGAATTTTTTAAAAATTAAAAACTATTGAGTGGTTACATTGAACCAAATTATTATAGTAAGTTATATTATCATGAGGGTGTGGGTATTGCAAATAGTAGGCCCTTTGAAATTTTGACTCAAGAATATTGTATTTGAAAGAAGTGTTTGGTCTTTTTTTCTTTTTTTTTTAGTATTAGGGTAGTTTTAGAAGTGCTGTGGAAAGTGAAGAGAGATAAATCATCCCTAATGGGAACAGGCCAGACAAAGAAAGTCACCCCGCCTGAAGATCTCAGCGGGAAAGGATCTTGAGCTTCAAAGAGAAGTGAGGATCCTCACATTCAGAAGTTAGGGCCCAATCACTGAAGACGTCAGTTAGAGGCCCATGCTCTGGCTGTTTGCTGCGAGAGGCTTTACAGTGGTGCAGTCCACCCAGCCAAGTGTCCGCACTGACCCACTGCATCCAGATGCCTGTGACTGAGGAAGGAGACTGTCTCTGAAAACCAAGGTCCAGTGGCACCAGCAAGTCAGTTTGATGAGAGGAGGGGACACAGAAAAGGCAAATCAGATCCAAACCTCAGTTTAAAAGCTTGTTCAGAGAAATTGGCAGAGCAGGTGGTTCATTATATAGACCATGGAAGTGGCTGCGGTCCTGGTTCTCAGTTTGAGGGGGACGGTCCCCCTCCTGGCAGCCCGCCTTTCCTCAGTTCGTGGAGCCCTGAGAGTTTAAAGTTGAGCTCCATCTTCAAAATTCAAGATTGTTTCTATTGAGAACACTGGATTGTTTTTGTTTTTTCACACTATCCATGTGATTCAAGAATGCATTTATTTAGCATCCAGGCACATTATGCTGTATTTTTAGCTTTTTCCTTGAGAGTGTAAAAGCTAAAAAAAAGAACAGTGGCCTTGCTATGCACATAGGTCTGACACGCCCATGAGCAAACTATATAAGCCTTGTGCTTTTAATTTTAGTCAAAGATTTTGGTCTCAATTTGTATATAGTGCTACAGGTTTGCCATCATGACAATGGGGCTCTAATATTCTGTCTTTAAAAGTTTTATTTATTTTACTTAATCCCATTTTTGACCCATGTCCCACAGGTAAAATGAGCATTTGTTCTGGTTCCAGTTTCAATTTGTTGTCCTGGAGAAGTTTAATAGCTCCTTTTTCTTTTTCTCAAAGTGCCCTAGGTTGGACAATTAATTATATGGTCACCCAATCTATGAGAAATATGTAGTAGGATAAACATTGAAATCAGAACCAGCAAATCCTAACTTAGGCTATCAGAACAAGACCAGCAATGGAACTAGAAGATGCATCACCAGCCAGTGGGCCCTGACTTGTTATTTTGTGCTCTGAATTTGGCCCTGAGCTTCCTGGTGACTGGAAGAAATGATTTATAGAGGTGTTGCAGTCCATCAAAATAAAAAATCAGCCAGTTCTTCAGGAAAGGCAAAGGATTTCCTTCTTCTAGTGCTTCTATTTCTCTTTTAAATTAGGAGGTAGGTTAAATTAAAAATAATGATAAACTCATAGATTTAAGAAAAGACAAGATTGTGAACTGGATATTTCTTACTTAGGCTTCCACCTTAGCAACTTCTGATGAGATCTGACATAAAAAAGAGATTAGACATGTATGTCTGTTTCATCTAAGAAAACCAGTCTTTCATTTGGCTGTAAAAAAAATTTGCAGCCAAGTTCTTTTAAGGTAGAGTTGGATGACCTTACTTCAAAATGTCCAGAATTAGCTACTGTGGGAGAGCCTGTAACTAATGAATTAATACCCAGTCCCATAGACTGCGCCATTTGGCAGGACCATCAGTGACGACTAGAACAGCTTCCTGGCTCATCCCATTTAATCCCTGAATAGCTTTTCAGCATCCTCTGCAGTTGGCCATTTGACTCCTCCTTAAAAACCCTCCACACTTAGGGAGATACACTACCTTCTGGGGCTGCTTATTGCATCACTAGAAATGTCTTCCTTGTGCTGACCCTAAACTGCCTGCCCTAACTCTTTGTAATTAAGCACAGAAGTTAAGATTTCTGCCTAAACCCACCTGCAGACTAAAGGTTAGCTTTCCTTGATAGTGGAATGCACCTGTGATGATCTGCAAAATTCCTTCATCCTGGGCCATGCAGCATTGCAAATTTTCTTTGTACGTATGAATAGGCCTGGTTGTGTAATATGTGCTTGAAAGAAAGATTCAGCTTGGCTGTGCTGACTATAGTTCCTTTCATAGTAATTAATCTAGCAATTTCCTTAAGTCCTTTCCATCCCTATTTGACATGCAATATTTTTAAAGGATCTTAATAGTTGGAAAATGTGGTTAATATTTTTTCAAGTTGCATTTCCTATAATTTTCAGTATTTTCCTACATGGAAAAAATACGCCTACCCAGCTAAATTACTAAAGTATAAAATGAAAATTTTCCATGCTGAAAGGTAAGGTAAGTTGGCTAAAGTCTTCCCCATTACACAGTACATGCAAATCAGGCCGAGGTCGCATTGGCTAGGATGGAACATAAACCATATATTTCAAAGGGGCAAATTTATGTTTATTAATCAAATATCATCTGCCTTTATATGAAAAGCAAATAAGATCAAAAAACGAGTTTTGATATGAAGAGAGTCCTGTTTCAAAAGAGGCAGCATAGCAGAGAGGCCAGATCATGATGAAAGGTCAGGGAGGCGTGTTGGTCTCAGCCAGCGCATCACTTAATTGGCATGTGACGTTGCCAGAATATTTAACATTTCTGAGCCCAGTTCTAAAAAAGCTTCAGAGACAAGAAGGCCACTGCCTACCTCACAGCGTGTCCATGCGTCAGCAAACCTTCATACACGAATCTTTTTCTGTAAAACATTTCATAAGTATTTTAGACTTTGAGGGTCATAGGATCTCTGTTCCAACGATACTACCTTGCTGATATAGTAAGAAACATACATATGTATAGAGTGGGTGTGGCTGTGTTCTAATAAAATTTTATGAACACTGAAATTTGAATTTTACATAATTTTTATGTATCTCAAATTTAAAATTTTTTTAAATGATTTTAAAATGTAAAAAAAACATTTTCTCACTGGCTATGTAAAAACAGGCAGTAAGTCAAATTTTGGCCCACGCTATAGTTTGTGGACCCTTGTAATAGCTCAACATTTACTGTGTGGTGGGCCTGTGTGGCAAGTGCTTTGAAGGTATTCGCCCAGTCAACCATCACTCAGCCCTGTGAAGTAGACATTAGCATCATCTCCCTGTTACAGATCAGATCAGGGAACAGGCTTAGAGAGGTGAAACAACTTGCCTAAAATTGCACTGGCAATTAAGAGGCAGGGCTGGGATTCAAACCCTCAGTTTTTAGGGTCCATCTTTATAACCTCAGAAATATGGCCTCTCACATAGAGTGTTTTCTATGTATTGTTCATGTAAAATGTCACAAAAATAAATCACTAAGTGTTATTTGCCATTTGATAGTGGTCACAGCAAGCAAGGAAGCCACTTACAAGTATTAACTATTTGCAGCCCAAAGAACTATTGCATTCGGTCAATTGCAAGAGCCAGCTAAGACTCATTAGGTAACAGAACCAGAAAAATCAACTTCTTAAAAATTTTATTTTCAAAGAGAAAGAAATGTGAATTACTTTCAGACAACAAATAAGTGATCAATCCACCATAGTTAGTTTGGACATTTAAAAAGATTCACAAAGATCATTGCACGTTGAGGAAAAGTTGAAGGGGATCTTCCTTATAGCACCTGAACAGCTGTGTGGGCCTGATCTATTATTCATGTATAACCTGGTATTTTATGTCTGATACTGGGGTGCCTTCGTACTGAGAGAAGAGCTTGGTATCCAGAAAACCAAGACTGTATCTCTAAATGGCACCAAAAGAGAAAAATAAAAGATTCTGGACCATAGCTCCTTATAATGTAGCAGAAAGAGCACAGAGAAAGAACCTGGGAAATGTGACTTGACTTCTGTCTCTGCTCTTTTATGAGCTGTGTGATCTTGGGCAAAGTACTTAACTTCTCTGAACCTCCTCTCGTATGGTATAAAAGTACCTCTGCCTTTCTCTTGGGCAAAACATGCACAAGTTTTGGCTAGTCAAGTGCACTATGCAGATAAAAAGCTTATGGGCTTAGTTGCGTTTACTGGGAAGACAGACAGATACTGCATCCCGAGATGCAGCCTTCCTCATGATAAGTATTTACCAGACGCAGATTCATAACAAGCTTTACATCTGCAGGACAGAGCTCGGAGAGGCCAGGGAGCTTACCCAGACGTGCCCAGCTGTAACTGCAAAGCCCACACTCTTACCTTACTCTACAAATCTTTGACAGAGGGAACAAATTTATGGCAGTGTCACGGCCAGGTGGCCCTTCCTGAGACAGGCCACTCTGCAGTCCTGCCTCACAATGCAAACCATGTTGTAGCTCAGATTTGTACTCAAAACAAGCAAACTGCTGAACTGGATCAGGTTAGACTGGGAGTGCGCACATGTAAGACAGTTAGCACTTTAGGCATCTGCTGTGTGCGCTTATTTTACAAACGAGAGACAAGTGCAGGGAGACTTAAGAACTTTGTCTAAGGTTGCACAGTGAAGACAGGGCCAAGAGTGGAACCCAGGGCCAACTCTTAACTGCTCCTCTGGGCTGCCTCTTGTTTTGTATTATATGAGCTTGGGTCCATTTCCCATTCCCCCAGGGCCTGGTTTAACAAAACAAAACAAGCAGCACTTCTTATGGTCCAAATCACTCTGAAAGATGCATTCTGAAGAAGAAAGGTGGAGAGGTTTGAGAAGTGTCCTAGGGTGGCGTGAAACCTGAGCTGCTCCAGCCCTGGGTGGGTGAGCCAGGCTTCCTGTGACGCTGTGATCTTCCAGTTTCCATGATGAATTTGGCAAGCTGTTGACTGCTGGGAGATGTGTTGTATAATTTACTCTCCGGGTCACATCTGGAAAATACATGCACGGGGTGCATGCGGAGATGAAATTTGCACTGTGACGCTTTGTGAGACATACTCCATACTCTTGTCACACAAGAGGTAATGAAGCCAGTGTGCTTTCTCCTGCTTCTCCTATTACGTTAGTGGGAATACAGGCGCATTCATTCTCTTTATTCCATCTTATTTGTAAAACAAACAAATACAATGGTTATTGGTGGGAAGAAAGAAGGGAGAGAATGAATGGAAGCGACATGCAAAGGTCTAGGATGGTTCCCCGGGAGAATGCTGGTGGGAAAGGTAGACAGGGAGCTCTTTTAACTACTCACCTGTACCTGTCGCCTCCTACCTTTTTGAAATCAAATGACTGTGACTATTTGGGAGAAAGAGGAGAGAAAATGGCCTAATAGATTCCAGGCTTTGTATTTCATACCCTAAGGTATACACTCTCATACTTTATCCTCAAAACATCTTTATCAAATAGCACCTTCCCATTTTACAGATGGGAAGGACTGAGGCTCGAGGTTACGTAACTTGCTTAAGCTTAGACAGTTCATGGTGTTGAAGGCAGAATGCAAACCCAGCTTTCACGGCCCTTGCCCTATTCTTTGTCACCGGCCACTTCAAATTTACTTCCCTGGAAGACAGGAAGCCACAGGTAAGAGCGCAATGTGGGAGAAATACATTATAATATCGTGTGTGTTCTCTCCCTTTGCTCAGGCCAAAAAACGGCGGCAAGTACTGTACAGGGCGCAGGATGAAGTTCAGGTCCTGCAACACGGAGCCGTGCCTCGCGCAGAAGCGGGACTTCCGAGAGGAGCAGTGCGCCCAGTACGACGGGAAGCATTTTAACATCAACGGCCTGCTTCCCAGTGTGCGCTGGGTGCCCAAGTACAGTGGAAGTAAGTGCTGCGGGCGGTGCCAGGCCCGGCAGGGCTGTGCGGGCCAGGCGACACCCTCACAGTCGCCCCGCATTCATTGTGTCTCCTCTCCAGTTTTGTTGAAGGACCGGTGCAAGTTGTTCTGCAGGGTGGTAGGGAGCACAGTCTACTATCAGCTCCGAGACAAAGTGGTGGATGGGACCCCGTGCGGCCAGGACACCAGTGACATCTGTGTCCAAGGCCTCTGCCGGGTAAGTCCCCAGTGGTGTTTTCCGCATTGTGTCGTCTTGCTGCCAAGCTGTGGTTTGTGGCTCTCGGGGTCGCAGCTGCTAATACCTATGCACTGTCCCTAGGCACAGAGTGGGGTCCCCAGAGCTCCGTCAGCACCCCCTGATCCTCATGCATGCCAAAGTTTGAGAACCGCTGCCCTGGATTTTTCTTGATATTCTCAGCCTCTCTGGCGATCCGCACAAAGCCTCCCTGTGAAGATTTATTGCAACGATTTTCCCACACACTCCTTTATTATACCTCAGTGCTTAAGGTTAAACCCAGATGCTTCCTGACAGCAGTTTCTAGATGGAATAGCTCTGCTCCAGAATGATCTCAGGAGGAAGAGCTGGCCTCGCTCAGATTCCTCTTCCCGATTTTAAGCCAGATGGCTTCTACCTGAGACATACCTGTTAGTCACACTTTGAAGGGAAATCAGGACACTTCTGGCCGATGATAAAGCGTTGGAACAGTGATTTCTCAAGGGCTAGATACCATTTCACTGTGCTCACCAGTCAGAAATCATTCCTAGCCCAGCAAGGCTGTGCGATGATCTGTTTGTTCCTTGCACGTTCATCTGTGTGTTCCTTGCACATGGTCCACTGCAGAGTGGAGTTCCTAACCCGGAGGGTCTGATTGAAAGCGCTCCTGAGAGTCACCCACTCCCAGCTCACGGCTGACCGAGCAGAGTTCCTGCTCGTCAGTTTATTTTATAGCAGTGCTTGAGTTTCTCCTCGAAGGCTGGTTCATCCAAAGGAACCAAATGGACAAGACTGTGAACTCTGTCCCCCGGCCTTGAGGTTGCTACTGGTGTCCTCAGACCTCAGTCTACACTGCTGCTTGGCAATAAGACGTAAAGAAATTCGGGAGGCCCTCTGGAGCCTCAGGCCTCAAACTGGTGGTCTGCAGCCTTCGCTGTCCCCCATTCATAGTCAGTATTTAAAAGGGGGCGATTTCACATCAAATACAAATCATTTTCCAGCTTGTCTTGGAAAATTAGGAAATGTCAACACTGGGCTTCTGTTTCCTTCGTGGCGGCAGTCACCTGGAGTGGGCAGTGGCTGCTCACTTAAGATGGGATGTGAGCTCTTTAATTGTAGACAGTCCCCACAGCTCCTTTTTTCCAATCCCAAGTGATTTTTTTCATTTACTCAATTTACTTGTGGCTGAGCACGTCTCATACTTTAATCTGTAGATGCAACACCTAAGGAGCTTGTTAACATGCCAGAAAAGTTACCAAGTCAGTAGATCTGTGTGGGGCTCGAGAATCTGCATTTCTGACAGCCTTGGGGTGCTGGGGCTGCTGGTCCAAGGACCACATTTTCCGTAGCGAGTTTGAGTTCTCAACCCTTGCGACTTTAAAGAGACTTAATTTTGTTGTCATTTTGAATATACAGTATGCAAAGAAACATTACTTGTTTTATAATCTGTATAATAATTGCCATTTATTTCAAATGTTTTCTTTTTAAAAGCAAGCTGGATGTGATCATGTTTTAAACTCAAAAGCCCGGAGAGATAAGTGTGGGGTGTGCGGTGGCGATAATTCTTCATGCAGGACAGTGGCAGGAACATTTAATGTAGCACATTATGGTAAGATCTGTTCCCAACAACCTCGAGAAGGAAAGTGGCCAAAGTTAAAAAATTGTTCACCAAATGTGATGTGTAAAAAGTAATAATGTCAAGTGTAACATCAGTCTTGTTAAGGCACATTACCCATCTCACCTAATAAGTGAGAGTTATGTTATATTCCTTTGTTGCCCATATTTTATTCCAGGCTTAGAGAAACTGAACCATGCTATGGGATACTGAATTTCTGCTAAATTCTCTCCAGGCTATAATCTCGTGGTCCGAATTCCGGCTGGTGCTACCAGTATCGATGTGCGGCAGCACAGTTTCTCAGGGAGACCCGAGGATGACAACTACCTAGGTGAGATGGGGCCCCCGCCGGTTTCCGGGAGCAGTGGGCAGATACTGGGCCTTCCTCCCCTGTCGCACACGGACAGCTTTCAGATGTCACGTATTTTCATAAAAGGAGTTGGTCTTGGAATTCACTCTTTTATTCCTCCTTCATGTGTGTAGCCTCAGAGTACTGATTTAAGAGTCATGTAGTTATACTGGTCAATAGCGAAGGATTTACTCTGGATCTTGGAGAATAGAAGGGCCCCAAATAAAATTTTTTTAAACATTTTAAAATCTATTTTAGAGAGAGAGAGAGAGAAACATCAGTGTGAAAGAGTAACATGGAAAGGTTGCCTCTCCTACGAGCCCCTCCTGGGGACCGAACCCGAAACCTGGGTATGTGCCCTGACTGGGAATCTAACGCACCACCTTTTGGTGTATGGGATGAGCTCCAACCACCTGAACCACAAAGGCCTGGGCCCTAAATCAAATTCTGAAAGTACTTGCCTTGTAAGTTTAACATAAAATTATTGCTCTGAGTCTTTTTCAAAAAATCTGTCCAGTGGGCAACTAACTTGCAGATGTTTTTTTAGAGGTATTGCCTGACTTAATTTTTATGTTATCAGCTCAGACTAAGAGCAGACCACTGGTGGACTTACTCGGAATTTGATTATGCCTGGTCATTCCAAAAGGTTCTGCGGCAGCAGTATTTTTCTCATGTTATTACTAGAATGGCCCACCTGGTTACTTTCACATGCTCAGGCATGTGATTAATTCATTTCTGTTCCTTATGTTGAAACCACAGCACACCAACAACCTTGTGCTCATTTTCAACAGTCTGCTCTGCTGAGTCCCACTTCAATTTATCATTCCGCAAACTGCGATAAGTGACTATGAAATTTGCCAACCATTTTTAATTAAAAGAAGGATATGGGGAGTGGGGTCATGACTGAAAGGGATTCAGCTGATCACTGGCACAACCAGACTCTTCCTGGCCGTGAAAGCAGCAGGCTTGAATGCAGGTCTAGAGGAGACCAGGGCAGTCTTGCTGGGCAGTCCGCTCTTAAAAGAAATGAATGTGCTAATGTACTTTCTCGCTTATAATGTCCAGACAGGAGCTCTGTTTATCCATCAGACTACAACCTCTATGGAGGTTTACTTCAAACATTTGGGCATATTAAGCTAGTAAATGAGTGTTCATTGAATCAGATGAGAACCTGTATGAATATTTTGGAATGTCCGCATGAAATCCTTCGTAAGATAGATAGTGATCCTTTACTCAAGCATGCTAATCAGGTATAATATTTAGACATGACTCCATTGTAGCATTTTCCACAGTGTGTAGTCATCATTATTTAATTAGTCATTCATTAGATAGATGCTAGGCACAATAACAAAACAGAACAAAAAATTAAAAATGAAAATCTCTGTTTTCTTGGAACTTACTTTTTAGTAGGAGTAGATCAATGATTTTCAACCTTTTTCATTTCATGGCACATGTAAACTAATTACTAAAATTCTGTGGCACATACTGTATTTTTTGCCTATCTTAAAAAAAAGAAAAGGTATAATTCTGATTCATTCACACCAGATGACTATTGTTGTGTTGGTTGTTGTCATTTTCTTATTTGACAGTCTAAGGGAAAAGAGGTCAGTGCCCCTGACTAGTCAGGCGTTGCCTCTTTAAAAAATTCTTGCGGCAAAACAGGTTAAAAATCGCTGGAGTAGATAGACAATAACTTAACTGGTGAGCAAACTATGTACTTTAGAGGATGATATGTGAACTATTAGAAAATAGAGCAGCATAAGGGAAATTGGGATGCTGAGGGTGGGCTGGGAATAGTGGAGTTGAAATATTTGAAATGTGGCAAGAGATAACAACACACCTGGGGGAAGAGCATTCCAAGCAGAGGGAACAGCCAGTGCAAAATCCTTGGAGGAGGAGCATGTCTGGATTGTTCCAAGAGTGGAGGGAGGCCACTGCGGCTGGAGCTGAGTGAGCACAGAGGGGAGTCCTAGATGATTAAACAAGTATCAGGACTAGATCATAAGGGGCCACATAACCAGTGCAAGGACTACACTGAGACATGGGGAGCCACTGGGGGTTTTGAGCCAAGGAATAGCATGATATAATCCTATTTCTTTTTCAATGGAGCATGCTGGCCCTTATGTTGAGGACAGGTGACAGGGTAGGAGGCAGAAGCGGGAAGACTGGTTAGGGAGCTGCTGCCGTAACCCAGGAGGTGCTGGTGGTTTGGCCCCGAGCAGGAGCAGCAGAGGTGCGGTGCACGCGGTCGGGTTCTGGGATCTCGTGAAGGCAGAGGCATGGCGATTTGTTGATGGATTGGATATGGTGTGTGAGAGAAAGGGTGGCTCCGGGGTTTGGACCTGAGCTACTGAGGGGATGAAGTGACCATCCACTGAGATGAGACAACTTGTTTATTTATCCCCATGACCACTAGGTTTTAAGGTCAGAGCTGTGTCCTTATATCTTTAGCTCCTGATATAAAGCCTACACATGAAGCTAAGCACTCGATTGCTGAATCACAGAACAACCATTGCTCGGGCTGTCTTTACAGAGTACCTACTGTGTGCTTCATGGGGGTGGGATTACCATGGAAATAGACAGAGGCACCTCTTCTTTTCAAGACCATAAAGTCTTACTTGAAATTACTCGGTGGCTGAATCAGCATTCCATATCCTAAGTGTCGAAATGGGTGGTGACTTAAAAGACAGTTGACCAAGTTCTTGGGGATTCTTTTCAAATTACCTTTTTGGCAATACCACATCCCGCCACTGTGCAGAACGGGTCAAGCATTTTCTTTGCGCGCTGGGTTATAAGTTTGAGCATGTGGCCTTGCTACTTCCTAATGACATCCGGCAGCGTCGCACACAACCTCCTTTATAAGTTAATTTCCTGAGAGCTGAAAGCCATGGTGGCCTCCTCCTTTCTCGTCCTAGAAAGGGAGAGGGATTCTGTCCTATTCGTCTCCTTCTTGGAAAAATAATCCCTTCCAGGTAGGGCCCTCAAGTCAATTCAGCAGCATCAACCAGGTCGGCGCCTGAATTGAGGAGGGCCTCCTGATAACTTCTGTTCCTCGCTGGAGGTTCCTCAGTCTTTCCGTAAAGAATGAAAGCAAATTAAAGATTCGTCATCTGGGACAGACAGTCGGAGGCAGTCATGGCTCTCTAATGGAATATTATGATAAAGTCACCTGTTAGCAAAAGAGCGTCTCTCTAGTCGCACGTGAGAAGTGCCAGCAGAGGTGGCACATCCCAGTTCACTGAGCGTGACAGCTGAGACCTCAGAGCCTCTGAACCTTGCAGTGGTTTCTTAACAAGTTAGGAGGGAGGTGGAGGCGGCGGCTCTGGCCCGCAGGAAGGCGCAGGGGTGCGCTAAGAAGGTTGAAACCCCCTGTCAAATCTTGCTGTCCCTTCACTGCAGCCTCCTTGCTAAGCGATCTGCCTCCTTACCCTCAGGGTTCTCTGCGGGGGGCCCAGCCACAGTCCCTCCTGCTGTTCTGGGGGGGAGCCACTTCCAAGAGGGGGAGGGCCTGTGGAACCAGCTCTGGTGGCCAAATGGGGAGAGGGAGCCCGGAAATTAGCTCCCTACTCGCATTAGTGGGAGGTTGGGCAGTGGACTGTTGTTTTCAGGAAACTATTTGTTTCACAAGGTACCGAAGCAGAAAGTCTCCCTGTTAAAGGTCACCCTTTGCACAGCCCCGCCCTCCTGTGGGACCCAAGCCGAGCTGCACCCAGGCCCACCACTTTGGTATCTCTTTTGGGGAAAACAGAGCCATTTCTGTGCTGCCTATTTGCCTCCAGCGCACCTAGCGCTCCATTAGCTGTGGCAGTGGGAAGACAGGAATCGATTCCGCTCAAGGAAAAGCAGGAACGTCATCTCACCTGGTGACCCACCTCATTCCCCGCTCACCGTCTTTGGGACAAGGAGATGCAGTGAGAGTGGAATGGTGAAGTCAGCATGGGAGCCTGGAGATGTGGGGCAGGAGCCCCCGAGGTCCCCTAGATAAACGATTGCTCTTTGAATACAAACAAAACTGGGTTACAGCTTAATTGACAGGCTGGCCTTGTGACATCTTACTTCCCTCTTTTCGTGAAGCCTCAGCTGGGAGGCTAGCGGGCGGCTTCCCTTGAAAGAACAGGGTGGTTTTGCTGGCAGCACGTCCTGCCATCACCATGTAAGGCACTCCCGTTAGGAGGAGCCTCAGGATGCCCAGGTGCCATGGAAACAGCTTCATCTCCAGTCAGCGACGCGGTGAAACTCGTGCATCCTGCCTGGCGGGTGGGGCTCACGCTGCAGGAGCCGCCGGCCAGACGAGGCTGTCAGGGGTTCACACTGACAAGGAAACAGTCATTTGGCCAGAAGCACTCCGTTCTCCTTGTCACAAACGTCAGCTTCAGTCAGTCACTCCTCGTTTAATGTCATTGATTGAGCACCTACTGGGATCTTTCTTGGCCTTAGGAAAGTGTGTTTTTAAATGGTCACTTTTCTAAAGGGGCTCCTTCAATCTAGTAAAACAAACCATTTAAGTTTTTAAAAAACTTGTAGCTAAATATATTTGGGTTCTCTTTGTACATAGGAGAAATAATGCATGAATTCATGCACTCATTTTACAAATGTTTGTTGACATTCTTCTTAGGAAACTAGTGCTTAATAGGCTTTGGAGACAGACTTCCATGATGAGAGACCTCGCCTTGGGAAAGTATTTTACTAATATTTAAGTCATGCTTTTCTCACCCATAAATTAGGCATTGGTAAAGGTATGATTAGGAGATGTGCATATAAAGGCATTATGATCTGCCAGGAATGGAAGCTTATATGTGCTATCGTGTTTAATGTTCTTAACAATCCTTTGAGAAACCCATTATACAGAGGAAGAAACTGAGGCTTAGAGAGGTTAAGTAACTTACCCAAGATTGCACAAACAGAAGAGAAGAGTTATATTGCTTTTTGGTCTGACCTCAGACCCTGCACCCTTAACCACTCCACTTTATTGCCTCCCTGTTGAAAAGCATGTGGCTGACTGGACCTGGGCATATTCATGCCTAGAAATTGAGGGTTATCAGTGAGAGTGAATGGCAAGGCTGGAAAAGTAGGTCAGGGTAAGATTTGTGAAGCTACAGGAAGTTATCGTAGGGAGTTTGAACTAAATTCTGTAGGAAGTAGGGACTATGAAAGAATTTCGAGCTAAGAAGCATGATTTTGGAGGATTTTTTTCTCCTTTTTTAAAGCTTTTCCCTGTGTCACCTCGTCTTCCCCACCATTTCACATGAAGACATCTTACTCTTCCCTCAGGGCCCCGATGGGGCTTACAGGGGTGGGACTTCTGGAAGTGAGGTGCTGGGTTAGGGACGGCGCTATGCCATTAGCTCTTGATCCTGCGAAGAGTAGTCCGCATGGGGACAGTGTCCAGCTGAGGGAGCTCGGTGAGCTCCCCCTGTGCAAGGAAGCAAGAGCCCTGCTGCTACTGAGCACGGAGAACACTCAGAGCCTGTCTCAGCCCTCTCCAACCTCCACATAGGGTGCGATACCTACCTTCCCTAACCCTCTAAACCTCTTCTACCGCACACTGCTTCTGCCCGCGTGGTAACAGACAGTACACCACCTACGTCAGTGAAAGACAGGTGGGCCCCTGGCACACACTTAGGACATTGTGGCTACTCCCCATCTCATAACCGAGACAGACTGTCATTAAAATGATGCTGAGACAGGAAGCTGCGAGTGACTCCTGTTCTGCCTAGTTTCTTGGGCAGCTAGTACCAATCGATGGACATTGGTGCCCAGGACGAAACCTATTTGCTATCCGTGAGTTAAATGTGCATGTTCCCTTAATCCTCCCAAACACATGGCCTGGGTATGTCAAGGGTTCTTTTCCTGCTGAGATTTGCTAATTAGGCACAATTTACAAAAGGTAAGGGGCCTTTTTTCTAGTATTTTGTTCAGAGCCCAAATGTTTGATATCTCTGATTTGTTGAGTGCCTGTTTCATGTCCAGCCCAATACTCAGGAGAACTTATTATTCAAGGAGCAGGGGCACTGGGAAAAAACCAACTGGTACTTAAAACCAAAATTTTAATAATAAATACTAGGGGGAAAGATATGATTGGGATTTTATCTTGAGAAATTCGTCCAAAGTATGAGAATAAATGTGTGTTTTTTATGTTTATGTTCAACAAAGTTACTTTTTAATTTTTATCATGCCCAGTTTTGTACAGTGGAGAAGAAAGCAATTGATAAGTATTTTTGCCAAAGTTTTCCAGTCAGGTCATATGATATCAGAGTAGTACGTTCTTTACTTAACATGTGAATTTAACAGTAAACTCTGAAAGGAAATCATTTTTTTAAACTTCCTGGGGCTTTATTCACTCTCTCCAGATAACGTTGATAATAAATTATTCCTCTGAAAGCAGCTGTCATCTTTTGCAAGATCTGCAGTAGATTCATTCATTCTGCCAGAGAAAGTATTTATTGAGCACCTACCACGTGCTCTTTCAGAAGCTGGGATGTACATAGTAGTGAGCAAGATGGTCCCCAGACCCTTGTCCTTGTGGGGCTCGCCTTCTTGTTTGGGGACAGAAAGCATAAACAGTGCTGTGGCGAGAAAGGAAGGTGGGAAATGGTACAGGAAATGTGGGACCTGTGCTGCAGTGGGAGGCGTTGCAGTTTCAAAAATAATGGGCTGGGTAGTGTTGTTGACCAGCTTTTACTGTTTAACAAATGGTCTCAAAACATAGTGGCTTAGCAGAACAGATGTGTACTGCCCCCCAGTTTTTGTGTGTCAGGAATTTGGGAGCAGCATGGCTGGGTGTTTCTGGCTTGAGGTGTCTCGGCGTCTGGAAACTTGATGGGCAGCGGATCCACTGCCCGGGTGCCTCACTCTGACACTGTTGGCAGGAGGCTTGGGGTCTTCACTGTTGTCTGCAAGAAGCCCCTCAATGCGGCTGCTCAGGGTTCCTTACAGTATGGCAGCCAGCTTTTTCCCTAAAACCAGAGATTCAAGGAAGAGCAAGGCGGAGCCACATGCTGTGACCTGGGCTTGGAGGTCTCACTGTCATTTCTGCAATGTCCTAGTGATTGCATAGTCATTGCTATTCCCTGTGGGAGGGGCTGACACACGGGTGAGTTCCAGGAGGTAAAGGTCACAGAGCCGTATTGGAGGCTGGCCACTGCTCTGTGCCTCACTGGAAAAGTGACATTTGAGCATCATATAGGCTATGATTTTCAAATTTCCCCATCTGCCAAATGAAGGAGACTAACAAAGATTTAATAAGCCTGGCTAAATCTAATGCAAAATGAGAGGGATATTTGCATGGGAATCAGTTTTGTAAGTGTTCAATTCATTTTACATATGTTTAAATCATTACACTTTTGTTTCCATCTCCAATCCTGTAATTGTGGGGCTTGTATAACAAATCTTAGGCTAATTAGGATGCTTACATTTCTCTTAATTTTGAGAGGTGCCTTAAGGGTAGGTGTTTTTATCTCTATCTTAGAGACAAATGGAGACTGAATGAGAGAAAGTGATTTCCCAAGGCCACGTAGCCAGCAAGTGGCAAAACTAGGATTTGCGTCCATTCCTGTTTGCCTGAAAAGTCCGTGTTCTTTGCACCCCGCGTATTAAAGCATAATTCCATATTTCAAATAGCAAGTTTTCGGCAGCAAATCAGTGAATTCTGTTTTCTCATCTCCAGCGTTGTCAGACAGTGAAGGTGAGTTCTTGCTGAACGGAGACTTCGTTGTCACAATGTCCAAAAAGGAGATCCGCATTGGGAATGCTCTGATAGAGTACAGCGGGTCCGACAATGTCGTGGAGCGGCTGAACTGCACAGATCGCATCGAACAAGAACTTGTGCTTCAGGTAAAATCTGGGCCACGAGCCCGCGCCCTTTCCTTCCTCCCGGGGTCACCAGACCTGCAAACGTCGTCCCCATTCTGTCTGCGCCTCCCAGGTGTTGTCGGTGGGGAAGCTGTACAGCCCCGACGTGCGCTATTCCTTCAATGTTCCGCTCGAAGGCCGGCCCCAGCAGTTCTACTGGAACAGCCACGGGCCCTGGCAAGCCTGCAGCAAACCCTGCCAAGGTAGGGCTTTCTCGGTTGAGTTGGGGGGATTTGAGGCAGTCTTTTGGTTTATTTTTCCAGTTTTATCAACATATAATTGATGTAACATTATATAGGTTTAAGGTGGATGGCATAATGATTTCTTATATGACAAAATAGTTACCACCGTAAGTTTAATTCTCACTCATCAGTTACAATTTTTTTTCTTGCGATGAGAACTTTTTAAGATCCTCCCTCCAAGCAANTGAGGCAGTCTTTTGGTTTATTTTTCCAGTTTTATCAACATATAATTGATATAACATTATATAAGTTTAAGGTGGATGGCATAATGATTTCTTATATGACAAGATAATTACCACCGTAAGTTTAACTCTCACTCATCAGTTACAATTTTTTTTCTTGCGATGAGAACTTTTAAGATCCACTCTCCGAGCAGCTTTCAAACCTACAACAGTGTTGTTCACTGTAGTCACCATGCTGTATGTTATATTCCCAGGACCTTAACTTATAACTGGAAGTTTGTAGCTTTGATTAGTTTCAACCCAGTTTGTCTACCCATAACCCCCACCCACACTTCTGGCAACCATTAATCTCATCTCTGATTCGATGACTTTGTTTTTCTTTTTAGATTCCACATATAACTGAGATAATACAGTTCTTTCTCTATCTGACTTATTTCACTTTGAGGTGTTTTTGAGTTAAAGAATTAAGGTGTTTTTAAATTTTTTTAAGGACAGCCAAATACATGCTATTTATAAAACTTTGTATCTGCATGGGTTCCCTACTGTCCATTCTCTGAGTCTGTCTCTCACTTCGGCTGGCAGATTAAGCTTTCTTGGGTTTCAGAAGCTGTTAGGCTTCCTCATGTGAGAGGGCCACACGCTGTGGAGCCGAGCAGATCGGCTCTGTCACTTCGACTTTCCAGGGACACTTAGATCTAGCAGTTGATTATTTTGTTTCTTTTTGCCTGAATTAGGTATTGGCAAACCACAGCCAGGGGTCCAATTCCAGCCCACCGCCTGCTTTTACAAATAAAGTTTTATTGGAACACAGACACGCCAACTTTTTTTTTTTACATCCTGTCTATGAGCCGCTGCTTTTGCCCTAAAATGGCAGAGTTGAGTTTCAAGAAGGGTCATGGGGCCCACAAAACCAAAAATATTTATTATCTAACCCTTTACAGGAAATGTTTGCCAATCCCTGGTCTGAATAATTTATGGAATAAGTTATTCTGTTTTCCTCCCTGCTTAGGGGAGCGGAAACGGAAGCCCGTTTGCACCAGGGAATCCGATCACCTTACAGTTTCTGATCAAAGGTGCGACCGGCTGCCGCAGCCAGAGCCCATCACTGAGCCCTGCGGCACAGACTGTGACCTGAGGTAAGGCCAGCGCTTCATGGCCCTCACTCCTGGCTGTGGGGGTCTCCCCGGAGGTCTCTGCGTGTGGGGAGCAGGAGCAGGAGCAGGGGGTGCTGGTCTTTAGTCTATGCCCTTGTGTTTATGTGAAATGGAGCATTAGCCAACTTCCCATCTCTCTGAAACTGATGATCCAACACAGACCTGCAAGGTTCTTATTCCTCTTTTGAGAATTAAAAATAGCTAGTGAAGTATGGCACTTGACAAAGACAGTTTTCATTTGCCCCTCACAGCTCACTCTGTAGGCATCGTATTACTGTGATTGAGTCACATCTTATGCAAAAGTTTAGTTTGAAAGGCAACAGAAAAAGAGGAAACTTTATCCCTCGAAATACCTGGAATATTCTGTAATCGCCCAGAGTGTATACACCCCAATGGAACTCATGCACATGAAAGTTGCAATGCACTAAGATACACTCATAGGAGGAGTTGGAAGGAAATCTGTATGTAACTGCTTAAATATCCAAACAAATCTGCATTTAAGAAAAGTCTGAAATCTGAGACAAGAAATGGTGGATGAGTAGAGAATTCTATAGTTTTCCCATTTGCCTGTAAGCTTGACTGTGTCACGTGTGAATATTAAGTGGTCTGGGGGTTGCATTGCATAGACTGCATGTCAGTTAAATGCAGATAAAATGAGTCAGTGCTTTATTCACCTTTTACAGAAAAGAAATAATAAATATAGAATGGTGTGGGACTTGTTAAGGTCTCTCCATTCATAAGAAGCAAGATGGATACTTAAGCATTTTGCAGGTTCCACATCACTGTGCCAAATCCTGTCGGTGGTGTTGGCAGGCCTGTAGTGCTGAAGATGCTGAGCATTCTCAGGGCTAGGAGAGAGAAGAGCAGGGCTGTGATCCGTTAGTCATGTGTGTCATGGGAGAAGGAGGGGGAGACATGGCCTGAGTGCCACATCTTTGCAGGTCCTGGCTCTTTCCACCCCATTGCACTTCCTCTCCACCCAGTGTCACTGACCTGCTTGCTCCTGGGTTTGTCAAAAAGCATTGACAGAGGTCACTGTAGGAAAAAAACACCCAAGGCATTAAAAGGCAGACATTTACACTAGGCAGTATTAATTCTTGTTATAGGCAATTTCCATACAAACCCATCACTCAGCCAGTTGAGTTAAATTAGAGTTAAAGGTCTTTTCAGAAAAACAATTAGCTAATTAATGCTGAACTGAATTAATCACTAAAGTTTGAGGGGGAAACATTGAATTTGTGGATAGATTCCTTGAAACACAACCTCAATAAACTCAGGTTACATTTTGCAATTAGCCTCATATCAATTATAACTAATAATAGTATAACACTAATAACTAATTAATAGTAATTACATTATTCAGAGTGGTAGCTACTCTGCAAGTAATAAGAGAGTCAACCATTTACTAAGGACTATTTTTAAGTCATATATTATCCTATTAACAGTCTTGTGTTAATAGAATAGTTCTTATATATAAAATCTTACCCTATTAATTATATTAATGTCCTATTTATGTTATTAATAACCTACTAAACAACACAATGACATAAGTATTACTATTATTCAGAATTAACAGATAAGGAAAACAGGCTGAGAGAAATTAAGCAAAATGCCCAAGGTCACACAACTGGTTAGTGAAGGGGCAGGGTTTAAATATGCTCTGCCTGACCCTTGAGCCTGTGCTCTTAGAAACTTTGGAGAAAGCTGTTTTCATCTTTCATTCAGGCACAGTAAGCGATACTCATTGATCTCATTTTGTGTAGCTTTTCTTCCTTTGTGAAAAGCAATCCCTCCCAGGAGATTCCTGCCCCATCCCTGCTCTCACCATTGCTTGGACCCCTTTGCTGTCATTTCTTCACTGGCTAAGTCACACCAGCAGAGTCTGATGATGGGGTGTCTCGAATGACAAATCAGATACTGTGGGACTCCTGCTGGCAGCAGTAAGCATGCTCTTCTAATTGTGGGGAAGACAAGTTTGTGCAAAGCCTTTTGAGTACTAGAACATGCCCTTAAAAAAAGGTTCTTTAAGAACCCTGCTTAAGTTTACCCAAGGAACAACAATCCAAGGGTGGAGCTAATGTTTAAACTGTTACTTCAAGAAACTAAAAATTTTCACTTCAAACAATTCCAGCTCGCCACAATGTCGTTTGTAATGGTGCTGGCTAAATTAAAGAAAGAAGGCAAAGGAACCGTAGCCATGTCTTTTTTGTAGAAATTACCGGTAGAAGTTTTTCACCAAAAAACACACAGACACAAACCGAGCCCAAAGAAGGTGTTTTGTCTTTCTCCTGTCAACCTGACCATTGCTATAATTGTGATTTATACTCATTGTTGCCAGGTGGCTGTGTGAAAAACTAAAAGACTGGAGGGAGGATTGTTACTGATGGGTCAAACTCAAACAGTTTTTCCCAGAGCATGCTTGTGGAACCCTAGTTCTAGCAGATGATCATGGAGAACCTGTATGTTCGAGAAGCCTTACCGACCATCTCCTCCCCTATGTGGACATCCACAGTGCTGATTAACATTTCGAAGGCCCTGAGAAGTTCTGCAGTATACAACTCTACTTAAATCAGGAGCTCCCAAAATAATGCCCCACACACCCACAGAGACCACATTTTTTTTCTGTCTCCACTAACTGACAAACACTTTGCATTTCTGAAATATGGTGAAATATAATTGTTACATGAAATGAACTGAATGAGTTCAGAACACTGTAGTGGAGACCACCTTCCAGGGAGAGACTGTGAAGCCAATGAGAGCGTTTTGAGAACTTTCCCAGGGCAGCGTGTGACCTTTGTCGCTTCCAGGCTCTCCGCTCAGATTCCGGGCATTGTGTGAATATCAGGGAGACTCCGCTGTGCTTTTCCAACCTGAGCTGCTGGGGCGTTTCCTCGAAGGGGCAGGACCCCTGCCTCCCTTATCCAGGATGGAAAATAACCTTTCCACAAGGAAATGGTGATGAAGTCAAAGAGCAGGTAGCCAGGAATCAAAGGGCAGATGAAAGTTCCAGATGCCTCTGCGCTGGTTCACGTTTCTGCCTCACTTCCTTAGGGAACTGGGGGTTCACCGGATTAAACTTGGGCAGGATGAGATAAAGCATTGTTTTACTGTCCCTCATTTAACATGTTCCGATTAGAGCAAAATCCTGGTGGCCCACTTGACGTGGCAAATGCAGAAGCAGGGCAACTCTGACCTACTTTCGAGCGTTCATGAGGAATTCCAGGACAAGCGTGTGTCCAGTACTCGTTTCTTCCTGGGTCCACGCCCTGGACAGGTGTGGGTGGAAGAATTCTTAGGGCGTTGGTGTTCTCCAAACCGCTGAATTTCCTGAACAACCCAGAATTAACAATCGAAAGTGAATCCAAGTGAAGATTATAAAGAAAGTCATCTTCTCTGATTGTTAGATTTAATCAACACAATATATTTCAAGTTTATTTATTTGGACTCTTCTATTCAGTTTAAGCATTTTTTCTTGAAGCACTGACCACGTTCCTTGGCATTAGAAGAACCAGTGAATTTATTATACCATTCTGAGCACCTACTGTGTGCCAAGAAAGGCTCATTATAGGGTTCTGTAGATGCAAAGGTACTGTTTGTGACAGATTTGTAGATCCAAGTCTAAGTTTTAAAATGTAGAATTGTGGAGCAGTAAGGAATGAATAATAGGTGGAGCACAGAGGATTTTTAAGGCAGTGAAAATACTCTATAGAGTATTGTATTACATTATAGTGATGAACGCATGTCATTACACATTTGTCCAAACCCATAGAATGTACAACACTGAGAGTGAACTGTAATGTAAATGGTGGACTTTGGGTGATAAAGATGCTCAGTGAGGATCATCTGTTACAATAAATGTACCACTCTGGAGGGGAATGCTGGTAATAGAGGACCCTGTGTGTGGGGAGTGGGACACGGGTATATGGGAAATCTCTGTGGCCTTCCTCTCAACTCTACCACGGGCTTAAAACTGCTCTAAACAAAATAAAGTCTCTTTTTAAAAAAATTGTATAATTGAGTTCTATAGACTATGGCCCTTGTCTTCAAGGAACTTAAGGTCTTTATTCAGTTAGTAATGTACTCAGTTTAGCACACTTGAAAGTCATAATTAGAGTCCAAATTATCCATTCCTTTATCAATTCACAGAATGTTCATTGAGCACTTTCTAGCACAGGCCCACATAAAGGAAGTTTCCTGGGGAGTTTCCAACAGTAGTTCTCTGTTAGAAGCAGCCTGCTTGATAAATGAAATGCTGAGTAGCATGAACCTTTGAAATATAAAATTGCTTTTTCACTCTGTTGAGTTCCAGTGTTTTTTTCTCTTTGGTTGCTTGAATTTTAGATTGACTGTATCAGGGGAGGGTCTTTACAAAGATAGAACCTCTAGTTATCACTCTGTGACTTCCATGTACATTGGCAGCCATGAAAAATACAGGGATACTTTGGTTTAAAATTGGATTTGAGTAACTGACTATGGTTTCATGGTATTTGAGTTAAGGAAAAAAAATGAACTCAACGCTCCCACCAATTAAATATAGATAAGACATACATTTAACAGAACTCTTGGTTTCTCCCCATTGTTATGCACAGATGGCAGGTTGGCAGCAGGAGCGAATGTAGTGCCCAGTGTGGCTTGGGGTACCGCACATTAGACATCTACTGTGCCAGATATAGCCGGCTAGATGGGAAGACCGAGAAGGTTGATGACAGTTTTTGCAGCAGTCACCCCAAACCAAGCAACCAGGAAAAGTGCTCAGGAGAATGTAACACAGGGGGCTGGCACTATTCTGCTTGGACTGAAGTAAGTGGATTCTCTCCGAAAGAGCCTTCTTGAATGCTAAGTCTGATTAGTTGATGGTGATGAACCAACTAACTCATTCATTAGGGCTGTGTTGAGAAGCCCTTTTTAGCTGTATGGAAAAAGAGTACCATGATTGATTTATAATGCCTGACCCCTTTCGAAATCTGCAGAAAAGAGCACCGTGATTGATTTGTAATGCCTGAAGTGGCCAGGCCTGCAGAAAATTGGGAATGGTAGACCAACTCAGCCAGATCACTTTTTCTATACCCCATAGGCCATTTCCAATTTTATTTCTCTATTCCCACTTACTAATATTGGCTTCACTATAAACTTGGTAAATAAATTGATAACATGAACAGATAGCCCCAAAATAATAACTAGAACTGGCCAGGGTTGGTTGGTTGGTTGATAGGTTGTTTGTTTCTTAAGGTCTGGCAGAGACATGCCAGCACAGCCAGGATCTGGAGCATGCTTGATGAGAAACTCGGTTTTATTTCGTTTTTTTGTCTTTTCAGTGTTCTGAAAGCTGTGATGGTGGCATCCAGAGGAGAAGAGCTATTTGTGTCAACACACAAAATGATGTCCTGGATGACAGCAAATGCACACATCAAGAGAAAGTCACCATTCAGAGGTGCAATGAGTTTCCTTGTCCACAGTGGAGATCCGGAGAGTGGTCAGAGGTGAGATGGGAGGGCTGTCATTTTCCCCCAGGTCACCTCTGACACTCTAGTTCTGAGTCCCCCCTGGGCTGGTCAAGATTAGACCTGCTGCACCCTTCTCACACCTCCTGCTGAAGAAATGACTCTAGTACTCTCCCCACCCCATGACTGTCATACTGGGCGTGACTGGCCCGCTCACGACTTCAGAGGCGCCGTCAGTTAGGTGGATCGCCCACCACAGCAGCTTTTGTCGGTGATTTTGAAGTTCCAGTCCTTTGCCTCCTCTCCTCTCTGAGCCATGGCTAGTCACTGTACAGGGAATTAAGGCTTTGGGAATTATAAAGCCGCCCTGGCTTAGATCGAAAGGAAATAATGAGGTATCCTACTTCCTCATCGCTAAAATAGACGAGTTGGACATCAGCGAGGGGCCAGTCTGATTTATCCACCCAGCTGCTAGTGGGAACTTGGGAAAGGGAAGGGCCGGGCTGGGCATTCAGGATCTCCCTTTCTGCTCCCCTACCTGATGAAGCACAAGGCAGTGCGCAGGTGGCCCCAGGACAGCCAGCAAAGCAGGTGGAGCCTCCTTGCTCTTATGCTGTTGTTAGCACTCACTTTTGGCATAGCCCCAAGAGATTCTCACCCAGCAGGTGACTCCCTCCACCTTCTGGCCAGTGAGTGAAGGAACACTGAAGTTCCCTTATTTAAGGCCAGTCAGGAATGTGGGAAAGACACGTTTCCTGTGAATGGTCTCTGCGTGCAGTGCGTTCCCTTATCTCATCCACTTAAGCACAGAGTAACTGTTTACTTTCAGCATCAAATAAAATGTGGATCTTAAAAGGATACTACTAATGCCCCTTTTAATGGCAGACAAGTAACAGTGCATGTGGTTAACAGTGTCTTATTCCTGGACAATTAACATCAAACCTAGCGCTTTCATTCTGTTAACAAGCTGCCTTAGCTTAAACTCTAGTACTGTTTTTAAAAAGATGAAAGAAGGTCCTGGGTTTATTTTCCTTAGATAGCTAGTATTAGCCAAAGTATGATTTCAAATTAACTAACAAACTTTTGCAAGAATGCTTGATAAAGTGCCAGCCAGGATTATCAAACTATATTACATATTCAGTGTGATCCCACATTCCGCAGATAAGCACACTGGGATGCAAACAGCAGTGTGCTGAAGATTGTCCCTGGGTGTGAGATTTTTGAATCACTGTGTATTCTCTTTTATGTTTTCCTGTATTTTTCAAGTTTTTTACGATGAGCATAGACAATAACGACAATTATATTTAACATTTATTAGTTGAACATGTGGTAAGCACTTTACTTAGATTTGTGTTTATTTAGTTTTCACAATTCTTTGCAGTAGCCGCCCTTGTCCCTGTGGTACAGATGAGAAAACTGCAGTATAGAAGAGTTACTTGACCTCTGGATTAAAACCCAGATTGGTCTGACTCATGAATTCCCCACACTTAACTCCGACTCTAGAAAATGATGAACGCTGTTCTGCAATATTTCAGAGCATGAAATATTGAAACAGTTTCTGCTTGAAACTGATGCAGAATCAGTATAAATGCAGAGTGAGTGAGTGAGTGAATGAATGAATGAGCCTTCATATTTTTACAAATTGCTATGAGAGAGAGGAATTGCTGTGGAAAAGAGCCCAGCTGTTCCTGCTGGTCATGGCTGGCCCGGGACCCCCAGCGCGGTGCTGAGAACTGGGCCTCACCGGCTGTGCTTTCCTTACAGTGCTTGGTCACCTGCGGGAAAGGGCACAGGCACCGTCAGGTCTGGTGTCAGTCCGGTGAAGATCGATTAAACGACAGACTCTGTGACCCTGAGACAAAGCCAGCCTCCATGCAGACCTGTCAGCAGCCAGAATGTGCGTCCTGGCAGGCGGGTCCCTGGGGACAGGTATTTGAAACGATAAAGTCCTTAACTACATTCTTTCCTTTTTATCTGGAGAGGGCTTACCGCCGGCATTCCAGCGGCAGGGATCTCGCCGCTGTGACTTGCACGATACCTTTCTGGCTCCGTGTTAAGCAGGAGAAACTGCACCTAGTTCACCCCACTTCGCAGGGTCGCCGCTGGCCCTCTGAGGCTGACTGGCCCCTTTACAGAGCCTCGTGCACACCTTCGCTCTTGGGTTCAAACTAGATGGAGACACGAGCATCTGAACACTCCCCCACAGATCTGGAGCCTGGCTGATGTTACTTTCTAGTGCACCCCGGTGCATCTGTCACAGAAAAGGGACCCAGCCCCAGCGTCTTTGGCAGCAGGGCCTGGCCTGGGATTTGGATGGGATGTTGTGGCTCCCCGTGTCACGTTTCCAAAGCTCACCTCTCGTAAATAAGTCAGACTCTTCAAACAGACAAAGTAGATCAAAGGCTGCAGAGTCATCTCTGCAAGAATCTCTTCCGAGTCCCCTAGGCCATAGGTTTTAACTCTTAACTAGACCTATTCTTAAAGAGGGAGTGACAGTCTCCCTTGGGCTTGCATTAGAGAAGCCACTGCTCTTGAATTTAAGTCCTTTCCCACGTAGAGGCAAGAAGCATCCTGGTACTATTTCAGTAGCTCTCCGGCTCCCGAGAGAAGCGAAGCAGCTGTCTGCTGTCACTTACGTAACACCCAGAAGAATGACCCTCCTTCCACCCTGTCCAGTCACGGCTTCAGCCACTTCTTCCTCCAGCTTACGTCTTCATTTCCAATATGCCTGTGGTTTCTGTCGTTAGCATTGACACTCTCCCGAATCCCCCCGTGGCACAGCGTCCCCAGGCAGACTTCGGGCTGGTCACTCTGCGTGAACAGGGGGAGTCCACGCGCACTTCTCACCTTGCCTCCCCTTTGGCTCCGTCTGCATAACTCTTAGGGGACAGTGAGAGGAGAGATGCACAGCTCAGGGTCACTGGTGAGATTTGAATATAACATCTTTTGGAACTACTGGACCTATTTTTTACCCCTGTCCATACCAGACCAATCCTGACCAGAGATTTGTGGTTCCTTTGCCTGAACATGTATTTCATGGCAACAAACTGTTTTTTAAAATATTGTTTAAGAGTAATGCCAGTTCATAAGAAAAATTTTGCTAAATGTTATTTAGCAAAAAAAAGAAAACCAAACATACTTCTAACTCTACACTGCAGAGATTACTAGAATTAATATGTATATGATTTTCTTATAATATTTTTAAACTAATATTAAGATTAGACTTTAGTTTTTTTCATTGAAATAAAACTCATGTTCACAAGTAACCATTTGAAAGTGAACAAGTCCGTGTCATTTAGTACATTCATAATGTGCAACCACCACCTCTGTCTAGTTCCCAAACATTTTCATCCCCCAGAACACTCACTAAGCAATTACTCCCTCTTTACTCTTCCCTTTGGCCCCTGCAGCCCACGATCTGCTTTCTGCCCATGGGTTTACTTAGTCTAAGTATTTCATATAAATGGAATCACGCAATATGGGACCTTTTGCGTCTGGCTCTTTCACATGCACAATGTTTTTAGAGGTCATCCACGTTGTAGCACACCTCTTTACTATGTTCCTTTTTATGGCAGTGTAATATTCCATTGTGTGGACAGACCACATTTGTTTATCCAGTCACCCCCATTGGACTCTAGTTACTCAAGCCTCTTGGCTATTGTGAATAGTGCTGCTATGAATATTCATGCATGAGTGTTCTTTTTAGTATCTGATTTCAGTTCTTTTGGGTATTTACCCAAAAGTGGTGTTGATGGGTCCTATGGTCATTCTATGTTTAATTTTCTAACTACCAGTTTTCCACAGAACCTTCCCTCTTACATTTCTATCAGCAGTACACAAAGTTTCCAATTTATCTGCATCCTTGCCAACACTGCTTATTTTCCCACTTCTTAATTATGACCACCTACGGTTTGGACTTGTATTTCCCTAAGGACTCGTTGACCATCTTTTCAAGTGCTTGTGGGTCATTTGTATATCTTCCTCAGAGAAATGCCTATTTGAGTCCTTTGCCCATTATTTAAAAATGTGTAATGTGGTAAAATATAGATAAAATAAAATTTACCATCCTATCCATTTTTAAGTCTATAGTTCAATAACGTTGAGTATATTTACATCTCTGTGCAACCAATATCCAGAACTTTTAATCTTGTAAAACAAAAACCCTACCCATTGCCTTGGCCAGGTGGCTCAGTTGGTTGGCACTTCACCCCGCACACAAAGGATGTAGTGTTCAATCCCTAGTCGGGGCGTGTAGGGGAGGCAACCAATTGATGTTTCTTTCTCACATCAGTGTTTTGCCCTCTCTCTCTAAAATCAATAAAAACATATCCTCAGGTGAGGATTACATTTTTAAAAAACACAAAAAACTTTATCCATTAAATAACTGCCCATTCACCCTCCACCCAGCCCCTGGCAACCACCATTCTACTTTCTGTTGCTATGAATTTGGCTGTTCTGGATACCTCTAGAAGTAGAATCATATAATATTTGTCCTGTTGGGACTGGATTATTTCACTTAGCATAATATCCTCATGGTTTATCCATGTTGTAGCAGGTGTCAGAGTTTTCTTCCTAAAGCTGTACAGGCTGAGTAATAACGCATTGTATGTACATATCACACTTCATGTGTTCGTCTGCTGATGGACACTTGGGTCGCTTTCTCCTTTTGGCTACTGTGAATACTGCTGCTATGAACATGTGAGTATATTAGTATCTCTTTGAGACTCTGCTTTCATTTCTTTCGGATATATACTTAGAATTGCTGGGTTATATGGCAATTCTATGTTAAATTTTTTGAGGACTCGCCATACTGTTTTTCATGGTTCTGGTAGCTATGGTGTAAAAGATGTAAAAATGACTGAAATGTACTCTCCTACCTCCATGGGTTCACGTTAAGGAACTGAACAAATATAATTTCAATGAAGATGGAAATAATTTCAAGTGCTGTAGTAATAATTGATCAGTATAATTTGTACAGAGTAGGATTGCCTACTTTTCCCTAATTGCTTTGGGTGCCTACCCTCTGGCTCACAATGATGGAAATATTTTTCTCCTGTGGAATGCTATGGGGAAAGTAAGGGAAAGAGGAATTTTACTGAATTGTATATACTTGTGTTTTGTTTCCTTCCCCCAGTGCAGTGTCACTTGTGGACAGGGATACCAACTAAGAGCAGTGAAATGCATCATTGGGACGTATATGTCCATGGTAGATGACAGTGTCTGCAATGCAGCAACTAGACCAACTGAGACCCAGGTGAGTCTCCTTCATTCAACTCAGTTATTGGCTTTGGGCACTGAGATGCCAAAACTTCCCAGTAACTCAGTCAAAACTGAAGTTCTTTCATAGGTAAGGATGTAGGTAGAGAACACCACTGATTAAATTGTTCTGGATTTACTAATTGTTTTGTTCTTCTCTGGCCATTTGAAATGTATGAAGGTGTGATTCTGATTCTTATTGGATGGCAAATGTTGACTGTTTGGTGGTGTTTTCTTTGTTGTTGTTTTTAATGATTTAAGTGTCGGGTTCAGCAAAGAGTGTCATGTCTGTGCCGCTGCTGGCTGCTGGCTGCTCCTGCATCTCGCTGTTGACTTGGCTTCTGAGGTTATTACGTGTGCTCACGTCTATGTGGTGGAAATACTGTGCAGTGGTGGCCACTGTACCGCTCTACTCAACTTCACAACAAGTTGGTAGCTTGAATGGGCCATGGTGAGAGTATTAACAGCACAGAAGTCAGCAAATACTACATATTTCAGGGTTTTATTTATTATTTAGACATAGGAAGGTGATGGAGAAAATATTAATAATGCAAATAAAACTTAAAAGAGTCTAGTGTCTGCAGTCTAGAGTCTAGTGTTACATTGTGAATAGCACAAAAAATCAAGGAAATCTTTTTGCGGTATTTGAAAATTATCTGGCTCAGCAAAGAAATCGATTGCTCATGTCGCTGGCGAATGAGAAAAGTTCTTCAGTGACCTTCATTGCTTCACTTTCCCCTTACTCTTAAAAGTAAACAAAACATCAGCTAACATTTATGTCAGAACTACACTTGTCCAGGAATTACAGCCATAGTCTGTCAACAGACTCAAGAGTTCGGCAAAAATCAACCAGACTATTCTGTGAGAATCAGTTGGCTGTATGGAACTTTAAATTAAGAATTATATATGTTATTGTTATTTGTAAATTGCATGCTACACGTTCTTTGTATCAGTAAAATTTATAATAAGCATATATGTACACGTATAAACATATGTCTATCTACACGAACACACGCACACCTTTTTTCTCGAGAGCTAGTTGGTGGTTACTCACCAGCGCACCACTCTCTGTGCGCCTTGGTTTTGGCATCATTTTTGTAAAGAGAAGACTTGGGTTTGCACATCAGCTTTGCTGATTGCTGAAGGCAGGACCTGAACCCAGACTATGCCCAGAACTCATGCTCCGAGGCTCCATCTGGCAGCGCACGGACTCTGTGCTGAGCTCCCTTAGGCTGCTGCATGTCAACATGGTTGTTTATGGATGACGCGTGTCAAAAAAGTAAAGGAATATGGCAGCGCTGTGCATGCTGTCATCGCTGATCAATTAACCAAACACAACTTGTGAATTGTCTCTTTATTTTTATTACTTTACTGAAGTATTTCAAACCACCATATGATAACTGCCTGTGAAATGCTAGCTACTGTCTGAGCAGCCAGAAGTAAGGACTTAGCAAATCCCTTAGAGAGTCTAAACATACATTTCTCTCTAAACTGTTCCATAATCTCCACTGGCCTAGAGGGCAGCCCCACAGTTGCAGCGCATGAATCCTTCTTCTCTGTATGAAAATACCCCTGTGGCTTTCTTTGGACCACAGACAGAGGACTAGGTGAGGTCTGGAGCCAAGTCGCGGAATGTCCCATCGGCTTGTGAGCTCCCTAAAGTCAAGGATGCAACATTCTCCCAGCACTTGATGCCGTGCCCAGTACATCGTAGGCATTTTGTAGGCAGATAGTTAACCAAAGAATACTTGCTAACCGCTGAGGCTGGGAATGATTGTGAGCAGGTGTATACTTGTGTTTTCCCATTTGTAAATCTGGGAATACTATCTACACATGGGTGGCCTCATTCCTTATAGGGATTTTCCTCTGGAGTGATTGAGGGGTTATATCAATTTAGGCATCGGGATATAGAATATGCCTCTTATATCTAGATTTGACCTTCAGGGCCTCAGGAGTTTTAAGTAAACTTAGAAAGCAAGTTCATGATCAACGAATTCTGGTTCTGCAACTAACTGAAATTTGAGAACAGCATTTGGGCTTCAGAATTTTAAAAAATTAACAATTGATCATTTTAAAAGGATATTCTGCTCCTTCCCAACTTATCTGAAAATATTTTACAATATTTCCTCTCTTTCGACATGAATAGGTAAATAAATATGGTATTAAAAATCATTAAGTAGACCCCAGCCCTGTATCAAGGTGCCCACAAAATGACTCAGGTTATAGTCCATTTACAGTCAACAAAATTGGGGTTGGCCTTGGCTGGTGTGGCACAGTTGGTTGGAGCGATGTCCAGAACTCCAAAAGGTCCAGGGTTTGATCCCGGGTCAGTACACATATAGGAGGCAGCCAATTGACATATCTCTGTCAAGTCAATATCTCTCTCTGCCCTTCCCCTCTCTCTAAAAATCAATGATTTTTTTCTTAAGTTAAAAAGAAAAGAAATTGGGGCTGAGACATATCATGTTACTTGATATCTCTCAAAATCACACACAAATCTGAGGTGTTAGAATTTTTAGTTCTTCTGCTTTTATATGCCATGACCATGAAGGTGTGCGTTGACATAAAGGTAACTGGCTTTTCCCCCTTCTCACACCTAGGACTGTGAATTACCATCTTGTCACCCTCCCCCGGCTGTCCCAGAAGCGAGGAGAAGCACGCACAGTGCACCACGAACCCAGTGGCGATTTGGGTCCTGGACTCCGGTAAGTAGAGTGGTAGAAGGGGGGCCGGAGGGAAGGAGCATGACCACAGAAAGTGGGTTACTGTCCAGCGAGTGGCCGATTCTAATAACGTTTCTACATGATTTTGCTCCAACACGCAGTGCTCGGTCACTTGTGGAAAAGGTACCCGGATGAGGTATGTCAGCTGCCGCGATGGGGACGGCTCCGTGGCTGACGAGAGCGCCTGCACGGCCCTGCCTAGACCAGTGGCGGAGGAGGAATGTTCTGGGGGCCCCTGTGGCCAGTGGAAGGCTTTGGACTGGAGCCCTGTAAGCAAGTGACTTCTTTGGGACTGGGAGAGGACTGGCCGCAGTCGGGGGGATGACTAGCAGCAGGTCTCAGATATCAGTGGTAGTATTTTAGAATCGGATTTAGATTGTGATTTATTTATTTATTTATTTATTTTAATTTTTTTATTATTATTATTATTATTGTTTCAGANCCGCAGTCGGGGGGATGACTAGCAGCAGGTCTCAGATATCAGTGGTAGTAGTTTAGAATCGGATTTAGGTTGTGATTTAAATTGCTGTGCTTCATGTATGTGCAGCTGGTATAAATCGTAGTCAGATGTACAAGAAATGTGCATTTTTTAAAAATATGTAAATATCAGTTTACAATCTACTTAAGCCCCTGTCCTGTTGGGCTGATTGGAAAACCAGTCACACCAGAGTGTAGTCGGTGTGTGTGGTACCCAAAGTGGTAAAGATGAAGGGAGGTGTGAGGAGGCGGCCTTTCGCCTTGAGTCTGGGCGCCTCCTGTGTCCTGTGCTCCCTTGAAGCCCAGGGGCTCTTGGCTTCCCTGCCAAGAGTAAGAAGTGAGAATTCCCATCCGGAGCTGTGGACCTGGCCCCTGTGTGCACCGAGCACCGTCTATGGGATTTTATGAAAGTAGAAAAACCTTTGTCTTCAGGCAGCTCCTGCTTTCTGCCTTGTCAAAACCAGAGTCCAGGAAATAACAAAACTTAGGATAGGTGAGGAGACATCATAAGGAAAATGGAGACTAGTATGTCAATAGATATCATAACGTATATTATAAAATTTGAGAGGTAGATTCAAACAGAGCTGTGTAAATATCCAGACCTTGACATTTACTGGCTGCATGACCTTGAGCTGTCTGGTTAAAGTCCCTGAGCCTTAGTTTCTTCTGCTTTTTAAAGACCAAAAAACATCTATCTTCAAGGTTGTTGTGGAAATTACTTGAGATTATATATGTTAAATATTTAGCACAAAGTAGGTGCTCAGTAAATGGTAAAGAATCTCATTCTCATGCTTTGAGCCTCCAAACATACATATATATACACACACATCAGGCACAGCTGTTTACTCACCAGGTACTCGTTAAAGCTCACTCTACAAAGAGCAGCGAGCAACAAATAATAAAGTCCTTGCCTTCACGGAGACTCTCCCAATGGAGGTTCCAGTCACTGAGAAAATAAGAAATAGATAATATGATATAGTAACAGATACTGACAAGTACTAGAGAAAAGTTCAGCAGAGCAATGGGACATGCTTTCAGACAGGGTGGTCAGGAAAGGACTGGCCGATTGAGCAGGACTAAGTGAAGTGCGGGGTAAGCCACGTGGTTATTCATGCGGGACAGCAGTAGGTACAGCAGATGCACAGACCTGCGATGCGAGTGTGCTCGGCAGACTAACGGAACTTCCAAAAGCCAGTGTGGCTGGAATGCAGTGAGTGCCGAGGGATAGGAGGTGAGTCAAAGAGAGATCATAGAGGTATCAGTGGCCGTATCATTAAGGGCCTACCAGTTCAAGTAAGGACTTTGGACATTGAACAATGTCTGAAGAAGAAGATGTTCTCTGATAAGACCATACAAAGTGGGTTACTGTCCAGTTAGCGACCAATTCTAATAACATTTCTGCATGATTTTGCTCCAATACCCAGTGCTTAGCCACTTGTGGAAAAGGTACTCGGATGAGATATGTCAGCTGCTGGGATGATGAATTGGGGAGTCACTGGAGGGACTGGCATGATCTGACTTTTGTTTGCAAGGGGCACTGTTTGTGATATGTAAATAGACTGGGGCAGGGGTGGGGGTTCAAGGTTATAAGCAGGAGCCCACACGAAAGGCTATTACGATAGTCCTGGCAAGGGAACGTGATGGCTTGGACTAGAGAGGCGATGGTGGAGGTAGTAAGAAGTGGCTGGGCTGGGGTTATATTTTGACCACTGAGCTGGCATGATTTCTTGATGAAATGGCTATGGGGTGTAGTCAAGGATAACACCCAGATTTTGACCTGATCAACTGGGTGAGTAGTGGGCAATTTACCAAAAATACACATTCCTGAATTTATGACTGCCCAGTGACTGACCCTTTCTCTTTCTGAACATTCCCCATAGTGTTCTGTGACGTGTGGGCAAGGTAGGACAACCCGGCAAGTGATATGTGTCAACTACAGTGACCATGTGATTGATCAGAGCAAGTGTGACACAGATTATATCCCAGAAACCGACCAGGACTGCTCCATGCCACCATGCCTTCATCGGACCCCAGACAGTGCTCAGCACCCTTTCCAAAATGCAGGTTTTCAGCCCAGAGGCCTCAGCCCTAGCCGCACCCATGTGCTCGGTGGAAACCAGTGGAGGACTGGGCCCTGGGGAGCAGTGAGTATTTACTGAGGTCTTTTCCTAATTTGCCACCTTTTTCACTAGAG